ATGTATTTTATGAAATTTTAATGGCTCTGAACTTTTTACATCAACTCTCTTATGATTCTTTAACAGTTTAACCACGCTAAATGCTCGAAATCGCTGATTGTTTCTTTAAAATTAATGCTTACGACATAACAAATTTTATAAATTATACTTTAAAACTAATATTTGAAATAATACTTAGATTTATTTCAAATTGGAGATCTTTTGCAAACAAATTGCCAAACTAAAAAAAAAAGAAAAATCCAAAAAAGTAGCCGTTTTTTTTACATGTGATTGGCTGGCAAAGTTCTTTTGGCGTCAAACCAAAGCTGTGTGGCACAGCACAAAATGAGGGTGAGCTTTTAAGTAAAGCGTGAAAACAAAGTACACAAATATTTTTTTGAAAAAAGAACTGAAGAAACCCCCGACAAACGAGCTTTGGAGGGAAACCACTGTTTAGTAGATTCGAAAATTTAAAGACTATGTTTCCTAGGCGAAAATTTGAGGCCTCAGCTTCATTAATCGAAAATTTGTGTATGGAAAAGGAATAAGCATCTGATATACTCCAGGTTGGAAAATTTTGCGCTATCTCTCGGTTTGACTACTTTGCGTTGTATTCCCTTATTAGTTATTGGCATTATTTTTTTAAGGCTTGAGCTTAAATCTAAAAATTTCAGAAATTGAATGAAGTCAATACTGTCACCGGTAAATTAAATAAAGAATCAGTAATTTGGTAATTTAAGCGAAAAATATAAAATATTGTGTTAATAAAGGATTTAAACTTTCAATTGTATTAATTGAAAAAGGCAGTTTTTTCAAAAACAAAAATTTCAAATAATTAAATGATTTTCCAACAAAAAGTTTTAGTTTGGTTATAAGCACAAAGCTTGATTTATAGCCCAGTTCTGTATAGGTGACAAAATTTTTGTAACTGATGAATTTAAACTTTTTATTATATTTTTCTGTAAAACACTGCGACAAGAATTTGTCACTGATAAATAATAGAGCCGTTAATTTGAGAAAAAATATTAATTATTCACATTTTTTCTAGAAACACTTAAGTTGTTTTAGAAAAAAAAAATAAATATTTGTGGCAAATTTTTTTTTCAAAAACTTCATTTTATGTATTCAAAAATTTCTTTTCGGTAAAAATTTAGTAGGTTGCTGTAAAACGTTAAATTATTACTTTTAAGAAACAGTGAAAATTGGTTAAAAAAAATTAATGCTTTTGTATTTATTTTTCGAAAAATTATTACAATTAGTTATAAATATTTGAGTAATTTTTTTACAAAGCACTAATTTTTCTTTCATAAAAGTTCTACAGTATAAATTCTTTAAACAAAAAGATTTTTTTTTGTTTTTCACAAAGAAAATTGACTTTTCTTTAAACTAACTGAAAACACTTTAGGGGACACTAAATTCTTTAAATTTGTTTTTTCATTTCTTAAATATTATTTCCAAAACTGCTTTCTGCAGCCTTTCTTGTTTAACTTCAAATATCTGCGCTGCCCTCTATTAATTATACCATCCTCGTGAATTTCATGTGTACGTGTGTAAGTGTTGGCTGTTTATGTGATTTGATTGCTAACCTATTTTACTTAAATATAATAAATATGTAATTATTATTTGTTGTATGTGTGTGTGTGTGTGAGTTGCTTTCGTTTGCTTTACACTAACTATATATGTATATCATATTACACCTTATTATATGTATATCCCTATATACTTATATAGCCTTACAACTATCTATATATATTATTATTATTATTAATACATTACTATATAACACAGATGACTTTATCTTTTGCTTGCATTTCTTACACACCATTCCCCCTTGCGAAATTCGTTCCATTTTTATCAACTTTTTTGTATTATTTTTTGCGTTTTGTTACATTTTCGGCTCAATAATAAATAATTAAAAAAAAAAACTCCTACACACTTCTTATATAACAACCTATACCTTCGTTAAACTTTTCTTATTGATTTTTTGTTTTGTTTTTTTTTAGGTTTCGGACCTTCACACATACATATTTTTATAATTTGTAATTTGTTTTTGTTGTTGTCCTACTACTTTTATTTTCACTTCATTTTGACGATTTGTTTGCTTGTTTTGCCTTTGTTTTTTTTTGTTCGGTGATGATGTCTGACCACCAACACCGCGCTTAAAATTAAGATTAGAATTTTAAATCGTGTAATATTTTTTATTTAAATTTTTTTTATAGATTTTCTTCTGCTGCTTATAAAAAAGTTGATTTGATTCTCATCCCATTTGCTTATGTATGTATGTATGTATATGCTTAGTATTTGTTTTTGTTTTTCAAATTGTAATTGAGCTGCTTTATCTATTTATTATTGTAGTATATTTGTATGTACGAGTAGTTCAGAGCTGATTTTTTTGCGTTTAACTACTATTTTAGTAAATTTACATTAAGCCGGTGTTTGTTTAATGGATAGCTATGGGTTTTTATAGTTTGCAGTGTTTGAAAATTACCATAGTTTATTTTGAAAATGTTGAGAAGCATTTTTTTTTTTTTAATTTGTGGTTTTGCTTCTTCTGCTGATTATTCATCTTCCGGTAAATTTTGTTTTTGTTGCGTAACTATTCTAACATCTATGCTACACTAATCATGCTATAGTATCTACTACATATACGCATTTACATATATTGATTGAATTTGTTAGTTTCGTATATTGTGAGTGTGTGTGTGTGTGTGTGTGTGTGTAAGCAAATGAATTTGACTTAATAACCGTGAAATTAATTTTGAATTTTTGTAATATTACAGAAATTAATTGAGAAGAAAATCCTATTAAAATTTTTTTTTGAGTGATTTAGTTAAATTGGAATAGTATGTGTGGTGCAATAAAAAACAAAGTAAAAAAAAAAAAATAATTGGCAATTAGTGGAGGTCAATAAAATGTATTTAGTTAATTTAAATAAGTGTTCTTAATAGTTTTAAACTCATTTCATTTGCTTCTTTTTTTTTGTTATTTAGGCAACTGCTCACATAGTTGAAAAAACATTTTTTTTGGAACAAGTTATGTATATATGTAGTTTGTTGAACTTCATATTAAAAGTACATTAAAATTTAACTTCAAATTTAATTTTAATTTTAACTTATAACAACAAGAATATGAAATACAAAAACCCCTATTAAAAAATCGGAAATTAAAAGTGAATTAAAAGCCGAAAATATGCACTATTACATAAAATAGTTTCATAAAATGTTTAACTGAAATCTCGAATTTTTATTTTAATTTCGAGGCCAATGAATTTTAGGCATTTTAAAATATTTTTCAAAGTCAAATTGTTATAAAACTTCAAATTCATACAAAGAATTCAATTAAAACTAAAACGAGAGTTGTAAATTTATTTTGAAGGTAAAAAATAAATATGAGCAGTTATAAATATTTCGAGGCAATAAAATCGTGAATATTTTAAAGATTTTTTAAATTCCAATTAAAAAAACTGTATGGTTTTACTATATAAGAAAAAATAAATAAATTTCAGCAAAAACTATTGCTGCAGCATATTTTAACTTTGGTTTATCGCCACTCCGTTTCAGTTTTGAGCCAAAAAAGAAGCAAAATAAATTATATAGAATCTAAAATTTTTTTAAAGTAAAAGTAAAGAAAAAATTACAATTTTCAAGAGTAGTTAAGGAAAAAAAATAAAAAAAATTAAAATAAAAAAATAACAATAAAAAAATTTAAATCTTTTGAAAAAATTTAAAAAAAAAAAATATTAATTTAAAGCCTATAATCTATCTCGAACGATATGCCGCACGAATGATTCGTCTGCAGACGTTTGTTTCGAGGTACATAATTAGGCGGTTAAATGTGATTGAAATTTATGTTATAGGTACATTTTAACTACAAAAAAGTAAAACATATAAGAAGTACATATAAATGCTTAAAACTTTTAATTTTGAAAAAAAGATATGCGACAATAATTAACTTAAACATTTTAATTTCCACAAAAACTATATTGCAAATATTTGAACTGGTATTTAGCGGTATTCTGATTTGAAACCCCAAAAAAATATTGAATAAATGACTATTTTCAGAACACACATAATTCTTTAACACTTCCCTGAACTCTGAACTGCTAAGTGAATGATAGGTAGTACTGCTGCTTTTTGTTTGCCAGAAGAATCAATCGGCACACAAAGTACTCAAGAAATTCTAAATGCTATTACTTTCAACGCGGCTTTGATTTACCAAAAGTAATAATCACCTCAATATTTTTCGGATGATCAAAATCTGCCTCACAGCTGCTCCTTTCACGACAGCTTTGTGATCACATATATATAGTTACTTTCGTGATTCAGTGTTTGTTTTTGTTGCTGCTACCCGCTCAAGTCCTCCTCCAGCTGCTGGTTGACTTTTGGCCGTTTGCTTCATCTCTTCCGCAGTCTCCTACGTTTTTTTTTTTTTTGTATTGCCTGCTGCCGCAACTACTCAGCTACATACTCACTTCCAGCCATATTTGTAATACTTCTATATTGGCAGTAAGCTAATTTCTCAATGTATATCTACATACATGTACATATATGTTGTGTACATGTTTATTTATAAACGTACGTGTTCTTTTTCTTTCGTACGTGTTTTTTGATATATCTGTACTGTAGTGTTTTCGGACGGTACTATTTACAAATACTGCCAATATAGGATTATTACATATATGCTTCCAGTACTCACATATTTCTTTACTCAATTCCTGTTTTATGTGTTTTTAGAATTTTTTTTAAACAATTTTTGAAAAGAAAAGTTAAAATAACAAAATTTTGAAAATTAAATAAACTTTTGCTTCTTATCGATTTACAAAATAAGAAAAACTGTGCTGATATTTATGTTTTTTTTTTACCAATACTTTTTATGTTTTAATTTTAATTTTAAATTTAATATTAATTTGTTTCTCTCTTACTATCAATTATTAGTTATCATTAATTAATATCACATCGACTTTGTTTGTTTTTGCGTTTTTTGCATCGCATTATCTTAAAGTTTTAAAAGTTTTTTTTACCTTTTTTGATTTTTTCATAAATTATGTTGTTTGTATGTTTTTTTTTTTTGTTTTGTAGATTTATGAAAAAATCGCCATTAAATGTTTTCATTGCATAGAAAAAGGAAATAAGTTAAAGTTTGTTTTTTTCAGCTTTGCTTGCTAGCTGGTTTGGTTATTTGTTTGTTGTTGTTGTTGTTGTTGTTCTCATAATACTACCATAAATACATTGGTGCTGGACGTTAGCATAGGCGTCCGCTATAAGATGCTACTTTTGTTGTTTTTGTTAATAGTTAATTTTATAAATTACAAATGTTGTATTTTTCTTCTATTCTTCTACTTATTTAACGAATGCAGCTATCCAAAAAAAAAGGAGTTAACACTAATTTGACTTCCTTTTGGTGCCTCAGCTTGAACGAGCGTGCACGCGTACGTCCCGACCCGCTCGGTTAGTCTCGCTTCCTGCTTGTCAAACCAATTTAAGTTTGCCGGTAACTGTTGATGCTGTAGTTCTTGCTTTGAACTTTAAATAATTTTTAGTTTTTACTGCTATTACATTTGCTGTTTGTTGCGATTAAATTTTTGATTATTGCATATTGTTGTTGTTTTTGTATGTTTATGATTCGAAACTGCTTTGCTGATATTTTGCTGTTATTTTACCATTTTCGAAAACGTAAATGGTGAGTTCCGTTTTTATTTTTAGGGCTTATAGCTGTGGTTAATCCAATCCGATCCGATTCTACCCAATGCGAAATCTCCAGCTTTTTCCCCAAGCTGTTTCGTTTAGCTGCTAGTACCTCACATTACTTCGTTTATTATTTTTATTGCCTCATTCGACTTTTTTGTTGTTGTTGTTTGTTTGTGGTGTCCAGTAAAAATAATGAAATTCGGAGGGATTGTTGAGAAAGTAAAGTATTCTCGTTATGCGTTGTTCCTGGTTTTGTTGTAGTAGTTGTTGTTGTTCTTCATCTTCATTCTTTGACGTTTTCATTTGTAGTTTTTTATATATATATTTATGTAAGTATGTATGTATGTATGTAGTTAAAGCCACGCCCATTTGTTTAATGTTTATTGAAAAAAAAAACTATTTGAGTAGTCCATTAGTTGTCTATTCAACACTCGAACTTATTTGCAATTGACCAAATTCGTATGCCCTTCGTTTAATTTTGTTTTCTTCTTTTTCTTCGTTTGTAGTTATTATGCTTTCTTTGTGATTGTGTGAAGGAGATTAAATGAGATCTCTGGGTAGGTTATGTTTATTTAAAAAATCTCTCTTCTCGCAATCGCATAGCCGGAACTTATTTAAGCGCACTAATCGCAGGAGTACAGCTTGTTCTTGGTCAGCGTGAAATCGGGGCTTATCAAAATGGTATTGCTGCGTGTTAGATTTCTGCAAGAAGTGCGAAAAACTTTAGTTTAGTTGAATTTTCAATGCATATCTATTAATGTTTGATGGGCGATCAAAAATTTATGTCCAGTTTGAAATTAATAAAAATTTATGTATAGTTTTTAAATTACTAAGAAAATATGTTCAGTTTTTAAGTACCATTGTATGTCAAATATTTAAATTAACAGAAAATTATGTATGTAGTATATTCAGTTTTAAATTACCACAAATGTATATATGTATGTTCAATCTCTAAATTATAAAATAAATGATATCCAGTTTTTATTCGCCAAAAATTTTGTCCAGTATTTAAATGAAATTATTTCATGAAACTATGTCCAGTTTTATATTACCAAAAATTAAATATGTCCAGTGTTAAATTACCAAAACTAATATGTCCCGATTTAAATTGAAAAAAAAAAAAAATGTAAAATTTTAAATTACCAAAAATAAATGATTAAAAATTCATGTATGTATATATAGTGATAGAACTTTTTAGAAAAGTATCGATACTAGTTCTCATATAGAATACTCTAAAGAAGAATCGATGGTAGTACTCATATTTGAAAAAAAAATATCGATAATACTCGCACTTTCAAGTATTTTTATATCAAACGCGAAAAATCTGATTTGTAAATTAAATGGAAACTGCTTTTAACAGTTGAAATATGATCTAGCAAGCTCTTCAACAATAATTTTTGAAATAAACTTGCAGTAAGTTTACTGCTACAAGTGTAAAGTAATCGTTTATAGCAAAGATATAATGTTTAACGCGTATATTTATAAACCACTTTACTTTTGAAATGAAATGCAAATGCAGAAAATGAGAAACGAATGAGGTAATAGGTTGGATTCCGAATAAACAACGAAGGTAGAATACATTCGTTAACGGAGGATCTGATATGCTGGAGAATAGCCAAGTTATCGTGTCGAAGACCATCCTCTTACCCATTCTTTATAGAAGGTGAAGGAAGAGATTCGTTATCCAATTATTTAAGAATTTTTAACCAGGCCCAATGTTGGAATGACCGCTACCCCTTCTTGTACGGTGTGTGAAAGTTTCATAGTTGTACCGATTACCAGTAGCCCATGAGAACAAAATATGTATTAATTTTTACTACGGGAGTACCTATATGTAATTTCAAACCTTTCAAGCCGTTTTTCCAGTTTTTTTTTGGCTAAGACATTTTTAAAGCATTATATTCCTTTTCACGACATTCATATTGGATATCGAAGATAATTTTCGAACGTTCGCCACGTTGTTTATTGTGTAATTTTCAAACATTTTGTAATTGAAATAACGAAATTGTTTATATGAATTTAAATTGTTTTTTTTAATTAAAAAAAGTTCTTAAAACTTCGATATTTTTTGGTATTCGCGATACTTATTCAGTACTTGTCAAAAAGTATCGAATTGCCGATACTTCTCAGTACTCATGAAAAGTATCGATATTCTGTACTCGGTACTCTTATCGTTCTATCACTATGTATATACAATTTATATTTTCAAGCAAGCCTATGTTTATCATCATCACAACAAAACGCACTAAGAATATATATTTTTTTTAGAAGAATCTTAAAAGTTGTAAAAATTTTATACAAAGGCCTTCTTGACATTATAAAGACTGATGCATTTTGAAAATCATAAGGAAAAAATATTTTGAAGTTTTCGAATTCTGTTTTGTGAGTTTGTTTTGTATTCTTTCATCTTTAATGTATACTCATATTCATAGTACAGTTCTCGAATTCTGTGAGTTTAAGGAAATCATCTGAAAATAAACTAATGAAATCTGTGGAATTAGATAAAAAACATATTATCTCGAGTGAGGCCAATTTTCCTTTAAAGTAATATTTCATTGGGTTCCGAAACAATATTTTAACGGATACCTAGCCATACGTGTAGTGTAAAATGCTGCTTTAATAGAAGCTCAATCAAAATATAAAATTTTTGGAGAGAAACCGATTTTTTAGCAAAATGCTATAGAAATATTGATTTTTTTAAATTTTCACTTAGGGTGCTTTGTAGTGCAGACGACGGATGATATGGTTCATTACATACTTGATAAATTGTGGCAATAGCGATGTCCAGCCGCTCTTGTCTTGCTTGAGTGTGAGATACAGTTCAAAGGTGGAGACTGTGCAGTCATCCACTTTGAAAGAGGCAATGCGTCTGAAATAAAGAAGAAAGATAGTGAGTGGTGAACTTGCGATATACATACATAGTACATATGAAAAAAATAAATAAATTTGAACAAATTTTTAAAAAAGTCTTTAACCCGCGAATAATGCCTAAGGCGAAAATGAGAATATATACATACATATGTATATAAAAAATTTAAAAAAAAATATATATATATATAATTTTTAATGCGTGAACAACCAAATAAAAAAATGAGTACGGATTAAAATTTAAATATTAAAAATTAAATATATGAAAATATACGTACATACATACATATGTATACATTTCTAACTTCACCGTTAAAAGGCTGAGGTTGACGTAAAAAACGGTTTTTAGCACCCTACAGCAGCCCTCTATCTATTCTCCACACATAACCCAATAATAACCCCTCTTTTCTACCCCCCCTTCACACTCACCTCACATTGCCCGGCTCACACTCGAAATCGATGTACAGCGAACAGCCGCGCACGCCACACGGTTCCCGCTCCGAAGCCTTGATTATTTCGGCCGCAATACGCGGCATGAGATCATATGGCAGCGAGACTTCGGTGCAGTCCAAGTGGCGCTTCTTGGCGTCTCGCAATTCCGTTTGCACCCGGTGTGCCAGCTCATTGACGGCGGCTATGTCTACATCGGTTGTCGCGCTGCCAAAGCAGCTGCCCGATGTTGGGGTGCCGGTTGGGGTGATGGCCGCTGCTACTGGTGGTTCATAGTAGAACATGTTATTGTTGTAGGTGGCCTCCATTGGCTGTTGTTTAGTTATTGTTGTTGTTGCGCAATTAGCTTGTTGTGATTTTAGTTGATTTGCTGCTGCTTGCTTTTGTTGTTCAGTGTATGCTTGTTGGCGGTTGTTGTGTTGTAATTGTTGCTCTTTTTGATAGTGGTGGTAATTGTTGGCGTGATGTTGGTGTTGTTGGTGGTAGTTGTTGTAAGTATGGTGGGTGGTGCCACCGTAATGGTGATTATTGTAGTAAAAGTGTTGCTGTTGTTGTTGTTGTTGCTGTGTTTGCTTTTGTGGCGCTGACCAATTGCCGCCATCAACGACGTCACCACCTTCTTTTGCGTCCTCGGTGTACAGCTCCAGCTGCTCCTGTTCTTCGTCCTCTGTTGGCCGATGGGCACTTCCACGCCGATGGTTGCTGCTGTTGCGTTGTTTATGCGCAACGTTGTCGTCGCTGCTGAGACTGTTGCTTGTTGGTTGTAGTTGTGATGATGAATGTTGTGGTAGTGGTGGTGGTGGTGGTGGTGGTGTTAACGGACTCGTCCAGTCTATCGTTTAGAAAAAGATCAATAATGTTTGGAATATATTAGATATTTTTCTTTAGAAATTGACAAGTTAGCTTATATGTACTCGTATTTACATAGTATATTGAAAATTCAAATTAAAAATATAAAATAACCCAATAAACATTGGGCTTGGTTAACAATTCGAAAATTATTGGAAACCTAACATTTTTTCAAGTCTCACCTTGGATAACGAATGAGGGAATAAATAGGTTACTATTCTATTCGAGAACTACGCCATTCTCCAGCAAAACGGAACCTTCGTTATCCAATGAATTTTTCCTTCGTTATGAATTCGAAATCCAGCCCATTAGCGAATTCAAATTTTAATGAGAGAGAGTGATTGTATTATATTTCCATTCGAAAATGCAGCTGGATTTCACTTCCTCTCTTGTTACTTTGGTTTTCATTTTTTTTCGAACCCATCTCGAATGTATTTCCAATACGCTATGAAAGTTGGAAAACTAAGGTTGGTTATGAATTCGTTCTCTTGGATATCGAAGGTCATTTTCGAACGTTCGCCAAAATGTTTATAGGGAATGTGCAGATTTTCTTTTATGCTGCCGATAAGTATTTATTAGGTTGGCTGGTTTGTTTTTGGATACCTATAGGAGGTTTTTCAAAATCTTGATTTTTCGTATAACGAATAAACCGATTTTTTTTTTTATCGAACAAACCGTTTTTTTCATATAATGCAAATCTTGAATTCTCAATAATTGTTTGGGTTTTTCGAAGTATTCAATGGTTTTTCCAGTTCAAGGGAAACCCCTAAATAGCTTTACAATTATATCCTAGGTTATTTTGGGATGATCATTCTTGATTTCAATAAATAAATATTTGGTACTTAAACGAAACTGTTTAGACGAGCTGCTTAACACGAAAACCAGCGAAACAAGCGAATAATCGAACAATGTTTAATGTTACTTTCATTTGAGGGGGTTAGAATCATAAGGGTCTAAGTGACATTTTTTGAAAATATAAGTTATACCCATATTTGTATAGTTAAATATAGTGTTTATTTGGTGACAAAGGGACCCAAGTCATTTCGGACATTGTAGTGCTATCTATTGGCCGGGCAATAAACGTACTAAATTTTATTGCATTAATTCTTAGAGTCCAACCATTAGAGTCTACCATTTATTCCACCTATTCATCATGATTTTTATTTAAATATTTTCCATGAGACAAAAGCAAAGAACAAAAGTTCTAAGGAGGAAAGTCGAAAGACGATTATAGTTCAAAAAGAAAATACTGAATCAGATGAAGCCCACGCCAGCGTTTTGTCAGATTACGATGATTAGATATATTTTAGTAGATTTAATCTTGTATACTATAACTTTTTTACATAATAAAATGTAGATTTTCATAAAGATAAGCCTTTCCATTTATTTTCTTACTGAAACTTACCTAGGTAGGTACTGAGAAGTAAAAGGATCCAAGTGACACAAAAAAAATATTTTAGTTTTTTTCATCTGCAGTAAACATTATTTGAATTAGTTAACTAACCTGCATTCATCTAGGTAATAATCATTTCAAATGCATTTACCCAGAATTTACAATAAGTAATCAACTTTAACCTTAATTATCTCAACCTACTTAGACCTTTTTGATTCTAACCCCTTCAATTACCTTTTATAAATAAAAGCTATGTATCTTTAGGGTTAATAACTTTGCTGTAATTTTTGATCATGACTTCATACCAACATAAGCATTTTCCCTGTATGACAACTGTGTAAAATAAACCGGTTTATCCGCTTTTTCTTAATTTCAAAATCGGAAACCGAATTTTTTTCAATTTGAAATTTTTCGAATATCTCGAAAAAAATTTTGTTAGTTACGTCTTTTTATATTTCAGGTGACGATATGTACATATGTATGTAACTCTTCATTTAGTGATTTTTAAATTTCGCAATTCGATCACTTGCCAACAGCTCTTCCACTTCAATCCCCAAACTCCTAAACAATTTTCAATTTTCTCGCTTCTTAAATGCTCAATGCCAATACGAATAACCTACACCGGCCGGCTTGGGGGCAAATGCTTTAACATTCACTTTTCCATCCACAAGTAAATAAGAAACAGCTGTTATGTTACTAAATACTAACAACAGAGGACCGCCCAAAGGTCGCAATAACAGCAACTGTTTTACATAGATAAGTATGTATGAGCAGTGCAACCTCCTAACACAATCCCCTAGTTGTAAATAAAAACGCCTAACAGCTGTTAAGAGAATAAAACCAAAACAGCGCGCTCAACAGCTGATAATCAGCGAAAGTGAAACGAATGCTCAAGCAACTGTGTGCTGCACGAGCCAGAAGGTCTTTAACACAATTCTGTATGCTGTACATATCTCCAAGCACATACTACTTCTGTTACTAACAGTGGGCACGTGAGAAAAGAGAGAGCGTAAATGCAACGCGTTAACATTGCAAAGTCGTATGCATTAAAGCGCAGGCGCTGTAATTGCAACTCTATGAGCTCCAAGCTGTTACAGCCAGAAAATAAACGAACAGCTGTTGCGCCAAACAGCTGAATTTTGTTGTATTATGTAAGTAAAGCATATGTAATGAAATTGCCTGTGGATATATGTGTGTGTGCACTTGTGCCGTGCTGCTGCATTGACGCTGGTGGAAGGCAGTTGTTGGAGAGGTAAGACGCAATCACCTGGCAACTCAGCTGGAAATCAGCCGTTTTTGAGTAGCGTGCCAAGACAAGAGACATGCTTGCGTGACATTTGCTCGTTTGCTTTAACATTTACCTATGTACATACATACATACATACATACATATTTATGGTATGTGCCTATGTTGGCGTTCTAGCCGCCATGTTGCATCCAACAAATAAATATTGAAAGTGAAGACCGTCGAAGAAGATAGAATATACATTACATACATACAAACGTACATCCCAGCCAGCAAAAAAACCGAAAACCGATCCGAAAAAGGACATAAAAGTGGATGATGTGCGGATTTTTCTCCGTCGTTCAATACGCTTTCCTTTAGCACTTCACAGATACTTTTTCATGGTTCAAAAGAAATAAAATAAAATTGGGAAGTGCCTGACGGAATTCGAACCCGACACCTTCTGGAAGCTAATAGATAGCGGCACACTTCTCTGCACGCTCATCCACTGCCGACTACGCATGCATGCTTTCAAATATTTAGCTTGAGCAAATAAAATACAATTACATATTGCTTTCAAATGACATCGACTTTTTTGAATGTTTCGAACGTTTTCCGGATACAAAAATGGATGATAACTGTAGGAGTTTTTTCTATGCGTTTTCGGATACGGAAATTTGAGCTAAACTGCACTGTCGGCAAAATTTACAAATGAGAATCAAAAATTTTGTACGCGCAAGTACAATTTTATATCCCTCGAACAACAAGTCAGTTTTAGTGCTATTCAAATCCTTTAATTTAAGCAACGACGTTACGATTCTGAAATTTCATTCGACATTTTACGCTCTTTTTTTTCTAATTTCGGAGTAAAATCTAGCACAGCAGTTTCGAATTTCGGTTTAAAATTGTTATAACTTGGCTCTTAGACGGCCTAAAGTCTTTGGCTCAGATTAAAGGTCTTGAATTGCACTTATTGTTCAAATATTATTGGCCAAAGCCAAAGATAAAACGCAATTAATGGCTTTTCTTATAAATATCGGCTGTTGCGTTACGTGAAGACTATGGGTTCTGGTTTTGAGATCGCAGGTTCGAGGCTGCATGGAGGTGATTAAGATTTTTAAAGTTAAATCAATGCAACCAATAATAATAATTTTAGTTTAAATATAAACGACAAATTTGAAAATCTAATTGCATTGCCGAAAAAACATATATGTACATATATGGGAAGAAATGCTTGTAGCATAAAAAAAGGAAAAAAATACTTTATTTAAATCAAATTAAAAAATTACAATAAAAACCCTAAATAAAACAAAATAAATTAAAAAAAAATAATAATAAAAAAATTTCCCTGCGCCAGGACTTGAACTTGGAACCTCAGGCGTACCACGCAAGTGCTTTGCTCTGTCGGCCATTGCGCCTGTTGGATCGCCGCGAGCAAAATGCTATGCTGTATGATGCTACTAGTATTTCTACTAGTGAATGCTGAGGCATAGCCTGACAATTGACATCTGGTAGGACATCGCGATGTTAATAAAAATACCAGTCGCTTACATTGAAAAAGGATAAAAGCTCAGTTAGTCAACGACGTAGCGTAAACGTAGGTTGACGTACGTAGCAGCATATAAAATTTACTGTTGATAGAGTGAGAGAGAAGCAACGGCAACGTCACCGCCATGCGGTGGTGAGTTTTCATTAACACGCGAATCCCATAAGCTAGATCGTGTCTGCGTCAACCTACGTCTGCGCTACGTCGTTGACTGTTTGCGCTTTAGAAGAATTTTTATCTGTACCTCGGTGAATTGCATATAACTTTTCTTTGAGTTGTGCAGAATTATATCCACAATTAAATACAATGTGCTGAATACTCAAAAAAAAAACAATGATATTCTTAGTTTATACGAATGTCTATACCAAAAACCCCCCTTAAGAGAAATCCTGCGGCCGGCCCTGGCACATACAAATTTATGCATTCTTGTATCTGCATAAGTATTCACTGTGCCTTGGTCGGTGTTCGCTCATTTGAGCATAACCGCAATTAAGCTCATTGCAGTTTGTTCATTGTAATGGCAATAAGCCTAAGTAAGCAACAATTACTACTGATAATACATATCTACATAAATATGTACAACAAATACAACAAGGAAAGCGGATAGCAGCAAGAACAAAAACTAACAACAACAATAGGAACTAACGTTCGCACATCAATGACGCCTTCGTTAGCAACAGTCGTTAAGAAATCGCATTAATGTTGAAGAAAAAAAAGAGGAGGAAGAAAACGGAAGCAACAGAAGCGGGTCTGAGTAGCAACAAAAGCGCTAGCGACAAAATTGCGCCTTATTAGGAGCTTTGGCTAACGCTGTGTGGC